CCCCATATTTTAAAATCTCTCAGATCTGAGTCTGGCCACCTCCTCTCATTCAGTTCTCAAGGACGATATTTATCCATCTCAGGCTCCATCTTGAACCTGTTCTGAAATGCCCTCATGGAACAGACAGTGGTCACTGCTCTGAACCCATGAGAATAGTTTTTTTCACTACTTCTCGGGTCCCTTAAAAAGCTAGGGCTCAAGAGTCTTGCCCAGGCTGTAACAATGCCTTACAGCATTTGCTGTTCATGGAATGCCATGGTATTCACACTTTTCTATAAAGGATCTTGAGTTTTCGTCTCCCTTTCTGCCAAATGTTTCTACATAGGCTCTAGCTGGGTTCACCATATACTGTATGTCTTCCTAACAGCTGCCTGGTACTGTGTCTCTAAGCTTCAGCCCTCTCCACCTCTCCTTCTTCATGAAGAACTGAAGAAATCAGAACCCACAGAATCCTTCTCTGGTCAACCAGTTGATAGCTCCCCAGAAAGGTTGTCCTTGACCGCCTGATATAAAATAGTGCCTCTGCATTTGAACACATTACCTGGCTCCTTCCGCTAGAATGTAAGTTCCGTGAGAGCAGGGACTGTTGTCCTCATTCTTTGCCCCACTTTCCAGAACAGTGCAAGATGCAAAGCAAGGCTCAACAATTACTTATCAAATGAAGGGACAAATAGGGGATAAATGGTCCCACTCAGACATCCACATTAATGCACACACTACAACACTATTGCTTGCCCTGAGCAAATGAGCTGGTGCTACCCAGCCAAGAAACGTAAGTCCCTCTTGTCACTTCATTATGCTCTCCAGAAAACAGAGGGCTAAACATAAACCAATACTCTCCTCTCTCCTTATCAGAATTCCAGCTTTTCAAATGGATATGTGCATAATCAGAGCTCAACCCTCTCCTTGACCACCACCTTTTCTTTTTTTTTTAATTTTAAAAATAAAAGGAGGAAAACATTAACAGACAATCATTTACAAAATAGCAAGAGAACAACACAAACAATACAGTTACAAACAAAGTGGTAGGAAATTAACCATGCTTGTTGTGTTACATATGGGTATCTTCAAAGACCACCACCTTTTCTTATTCTGCAGTTTAAGAAGTAGATCTTACAGCTCCCTCCTAGTGTGGAGGGTCTTTCCAGCTGCCCAACAAGCCAAATGAACCCAATCTAGAAGCTTTGTACTCTAAAACATTAATTTGGTACTTACAATGTTAAGGGAGACCAAGTTCTTTCTTGTGTGGGCAAAACAGTCCTCTTGGATAATGGACAAAATATCTGCTACCCAGTTGTTGAGCCAACAGGTTGGATTTTCTCTGAAAACTATTCTGATTTGTAAGATCTAGCACATAATTCAGAAATCAAAAGCATGTTACTTGTCTCACCCATTTCTGAGTCTTACCAAAGACAGAATCCTCCCCCTTCTCCAGCACAGAGTGGGGCAAAGGCTTTTCACAAAACACAATGCTGTGATAATACTGAAGGAAGGGATCCAGGTTTGCTTTCCGTTCTATTGTCTTGTTCTGTCAGCTCTCACATCTCTCCAAATCCAGGCTTAATAATTTACGGCGGAAAGACATTTAATAAATAAGCAGCAAGATTGGAGCTGTCAGCGCTGCACAATGGGACTGTTTGCATCTTCCTGCTTGGCGTCGGCAGCGACTCTCCCAGCTCGCTTCAACTGAGACAATCCCATTTGCTATTTTCATAAAATTAGTTCCTCTGCAGTTTCTATTAATCAGAACATTCTTTGGAGAGAATTATACTGGGATTTTATCGCCATCTGAGTTCAATCGTTCTGTGAAGCTGATGAATTTTTATCACCTCTGAGTGGCAGAGAGAGGGAAACTTGGGTGGTGGATGTGAGTGGGCAGAGAGTTCTCCTTTGACGTGGCCGAGGCCTGGCAGTCCTGAGGACCTGGGTTGGTCTCTTGCACCACACATCTTAGCAGCTTTCTCCCTCAGACACACCTCCTTTTGTTTGTAATAATTCTCAGTCTTCTTGGAATCATGGACTCTTTTACAAATTTTACAAAGGCTATGGATTCTCTCCCCAGAAAAGCCTACATGTGCACCCAGACACCAAACCTCACCATGTCAGTGGATGTGTGGACACTCTCACTGCACTCCACACGTGTGGCCCAGCCAGCACACTCCAGAACAAAACCAAGGTGACCACCTTAGGCTGGAATAGAAACTCACCTGAAAATACCTTGTTTTTGAAAGAGAAAGGGAAGACAGAGGCCTTTTAAAAAGCATGTAAAAGTAAGAAAGTTTTTCGTGAAGATTGCTATAATTTGGAGAAGTGTTCTCTAAAGGCCTCTGTGCTGAAGGGTCAGTCCCTGGCCCATGGCACTACTGGGAGGTGGTTGAACCTTTGCGGAGGAGGGGGGTCTAGTGGAAGGAATCTAGATCATTGTGGGTTGTGCCTGAAAGGGGCTGTTGACCCCTGGCCTCTTCCTGCTTCTGTTTCCCAGATGCCATTAGGTCAGCCGCTTGCTCCACCATGGTATGCTGCTTCATCAAAAGCCCAAAAGTCATTGGGCCAACCAACCTGAACTGAAACTTCTGCAACTGTGAACCAAAATAAACCTTTCCTTTTTTTAGGTTTATTCGCTTGGGTTTTTTTTTTTTTTTTTAACAAGGGCAGAAAGCTAATGCAATGTACACGAAATGAAAGCACTCCACAACCCTACTAACCTCTTTTTACTTCCCTCCCCTTATAGACAGACTAACAAATGATTTTATACATTTATGAGAAGGAAACGAAACATTGCTTTTTGGTGTTGTTCTCTCTTACCCCTGCCCCATGATACTGGGGATTGAACCCATGACCTTTGCACTGAGCTACATCTTCTGTCCTTTCTTTAATTTGTTTTTTAAACTTTGAGTCGGGGGGATGGGGATATAGCTCAGCGGCACAAGCACCTGACTGGCTAGCGCAAGGTCCTGAGTTCAATTCCCAGTACCAAAAAAAAATTTTCTTGAGTCAGGGTCTCACTAAGTCCTTAAGCTACTGAGGCTGGACTTAAACTCGCCATCCTCCTGTCTCAGTCTCTCTGAGCGTGGGGATTACAGGTGTGTACCACTACACTCTGCGTGGTGCTGTTTTTGTTGATTTATTTGTTTAGAAGAGAAGAAAATTATAATCTAACAAAATGGTATGCGTACGTATATGATGCTTATGTGTATTCTACAAGTACATATACAGCAGTGGTAGGGAGCAATTTTGAAAAGTGCTGGGTAAAACTTGCCAAACAGAAGAAAACTTTCCAGAGAGAAAGGTCGGATGGCCAGGTAATCTGTCTCCTCTGCAGTGCGCACACAACTGCAACTCAGAGGTCCCAGAAGACACATCTCTGTGTGACAGTACGTTACTCCTTCATCTCATTTAGCCAGAAAACAAATTCCTTCTCCCAGTTAAGTGGTGAAGAGCTTAGAAGAAAAATCCCTTCTCATGGGAGAGAAAACTTAGAGACACTACATGGAAGATGTAAGATGTTGGCTATGCATCTTCATTCACACTCTTTTTTAATTGATAAAGAAACTAAAACCAGTTTGATCATTATAAATGTAAAGAGATTAACTTTTTCAGTCTCAAACGTTTGACCTCTTTCTCCCAAAACACTGAGTTGAGAACTGATTCTCAGCAGTTGGGCAACATAACATTACATTTCACTACTTGTCTCCATATTATTCTGCATGTGCCATTGTTCATTCTTGTCTCAGCCTTTGTTCAAAAGATTTCCTCTCCTTGGATTCCCTTCCATCTCTGTCCTGCCCTTTCCATTCCTATCCATATGCTACAGTCCAGTGTTATTCTGGCTCTATGGGAGACATCCAGATTGACTCCAGCCAAAACAAAATGTTCCTGAAGCAGTACAAGTGAAAAACTGCTCTAAAAACTACAAGATGCTCTCAAATATCAAGTCTTATTATCTTTTGGAGCAATCAACTATAAATTAGTTTGGGCCCATTGTTAGGTCTTGCTTTAAAGATCATTTCCTAGTTGCTTCCCCAGCTGTGGACCTACCATTACAAAACCTCTCGAAGCTCATTAAGACAGGAGTCACATCCTATTTCTTATGTGTCCTTACAGTCTCAACAGCACACAGCTACAATTAACACTCAATTCCAGTGAAACGAATTAATCAAGATACTGGCTTTCTTAACCATACAGCTCCTCATTGGGCCTCAGGTTAAATTGTTAAAACACAGAAGAGATGGTTGGGTAGTTTGTGGGAATACAAATGAAGACTTGGGAGTAGAATAACTTGATGCCTGCAACCAATGAAATTCAACCCTCTTCTCCCATTTCATTCATAAAGCTCTGATTCAGGAGCTACGCTGGATAGAATGATCCTTGCTTTGTCTACTTTGAAGTTAAAGGAAGAATAACAGTAAATAAAATGAGGCGAGGTAAGGATAAACGAAAGGTGATGTTATTAGAGCTGGTGCCTCGGACTGTTTCCTCCAACAGGGCTGTTGTTGACCCTTCATCAGTGGGCCTGGGCCGACTTGCGACCCACTGAGCCACTGGTGTGGGGACTGAGATGTTAATCATGCCGCGGCACAGATACTGATGTCTAGAAGGCGGTACAGGACTTTGAGATAGGGGCTGCCTGGTCCTGCCACTGTACCGCATCGCTGAGCAATCTCCATGGTGACGGAGAAACACCAGAAGACCTTTCCTCGGCCCAAACAACCCGCCCTCAGGCTACCCCGACCAAAGGTCCAGTGGGTTAAGGAGGAGGTGTGATTGACAGTGAAGTGGGGTGTGGGGAGGCGCCACTACCCAATCGCAATGGAGGCTAGTCACCTGACCCACCAACAACGACCAATCGGAAGGCGTAAAGGAGGACGACGTGCCCTCCCTTCCTTCTCCCTTCCGCGTTGCCCAGAGCAGCGGCAAATGTAAATTAGTAAGGGGAGAGCTGAGCTTGAAAGAGCCGCGCTGATTAGCCAATCCAAACTCACCTGAATGAAAGCCCACTTGTGATTCGCCGTAAGTAGACCACGGCCCGGGTGACTAGAACAGAATGGAGCGAGAGGTGTGAGTCTGGGCCTGGGGTGCTGGAGAGTTGATTACGGGAGCGAGGGGAGGAAAGCTGGGCGGCTGTGAAGGGAGACTGAGCCCGAGCTGGGGCTCAGGCTGCTGAGGCTGAGGAAGTGGGCGGGCGGTGCACGGATCAAACAGACCGTGCTCACCACGGGTCTGGACCCAAGGCCCGGCGACTCTTAAACGCTTACTTTGGGACCGACAAGGAAGAAGGTTTTGTTCTTTGCTCTTAAGAAAGTTAAACGCCGGTGCCCGATTGCGATGCCTTTAGTGTGAGACCTTAATCCGCGGTAATCCAGGACGTGGCGGGAGCTGCTCAGGCTTGGGCAGCGTTGTCCTCTGGTCACTGTGACTCCCGGGGGCGGGAGAACAGCGGGTCCTCCACACCCCTGGGCCTTCAGATCGCAGCCCTGGCCAGGAAAGGGGGCAAAGTCAGGGTCAAGACCCAGGGAGCCCCTTTCTGTACGTGTGTTGACAGCGAATGTTACATCGGTGGCTTTCGGGTAGCTTGGCATTTAATTGATCCCTCCCAGATTACTTTATTAACAAAAATGAAGGCTTTTTCTTAATATTTTAAAATTCAAATGATAGTGAAGTATTTATAGTAGAAAAATAAAAGTGTGAAAGTCCCCCAAATTCTATTTTAAGCTTTAGGACAAACTACACAGAAAATCGAAAAGGATTCCTCCAGAAGGGCCCCTCACTCCAGGAATCCATTATTTTCTGCTGCTTTCAAGGACTTGAGTTTGAATAAAAGTTGGGGTGGGCGAGGCGTCACCCATGAGGAGGGCAACTAGCCCCGCTGCTTTCCACAGAATCTCCGTGTGTCTTGGACCCTAAGTCGTCGTGGCTATTGGCGCTACGCTGATCCTGGTGGGGAGCGCTTACTTTTGCCCAGTAGTTCAGTCACCTGTAAGCCTCTCTATCAGTTTTCCCTGAGAGCTGAATGCAAGGGCGCGTAGAATCAACGTTAGGTAAATGAAGAACACACCATACATACCTCCAAAGGGGTCTGAAGAAACTTTCCAAAGAAATAGCTTATGGCATGGAGTAAAGAGGGGGAAAAAACCCTGCAGTTGTTCTTGACCGCTACCAAACAAGGCGTTCAAATTGGAACAGATAATTTGAGGGGGGAGCTTTTTTGTTTGTTTGTTTTTTGAAAGAGGGCCTCGCTATGCAGTTCAGGCTAGCCTTGAACTTACTATGTAGCCCTGGCTGGCCTCAGAGTCCCGTGATCTTTCTGCCTCAGCCTTCAGAGTGCTGGGATTGCAAGCGTGTACCACCAGATGTATATATTTTTTCCTACTCTAGTTTACTTGCTTTTATTGCCATGGATATTAAGTAAATGGACTTACTTTTGAAATCAGATTGGCTAAACCATCCATTTTCAAAGAAGATTTGAAAAAGTACTGAGTATTCAGTAAGAATGCTTTTTGCTTTTATCCAATCTGACTCTAAATAATATTACTGTTCTAATAAGGGAACTATTATCCTCACTTTAAATTAACAAAGTAGAATGACCAGGTGTTTGCTTCTCTGGAACAGCATCCTATAGTATATCCAGGCCTCCCTTTCTATTCTTAGTAAGAAAATGCACGGTTTGGTTATCAAGTGATCATCTATATCTTTAGAAGAGCCTGGCGCTGTGTATTGCATGGAAGCCATAGCCAGTACGGAACCCAGTGTCTCCTGAGGGTGTAAGCATCTGCGGGAGATTGAAAAGATAAATACTGACAAGGGGCCAATTCAGGTGCACCTTGTTACTATTCACCCTTTTAAAAATTAAGCATTATCTCAAATATCTAAAACCTAGAGAATATTACATTGAATAGTATAATAAATAGCTATGCTTCACCAATCAGACTAATACACATTAGCATTCCGGCACATCTGCTGAAGTTCCTCATTTCAAAGAAATAAAAGATCACAAATTTAGCTGGGACCCCTTCGGTTCCCCTTCCTGCGCTCATCCCTCCCCAGAGGTGGGTACTCTCCCGAGACTGTACATCTTTCATTTCCAACGTGTCTGGGCTTTCGCTCTACGTATATAAATCACAGGCAATGTATATAATTTAGATTTTCTATTAATTTTAAAAAACAGCTAATGATATACTATGGCTTTCATTTTGCACTTGCATCACTAATGTTCTTTTTGAGATATGTTTGTGTCAGTACTTAAAGATCAAGTTTATTCATTTTAAATGTTCATTATCAGTATATACTGTACCTGTTCCCTTATTGATGAACATTTCATTTAGCTTTTATTCTGCTTTTAAAAAATATTTTTTTATTTGTTTATTTTAATATCAACAGAGCTACAATGGCAATCCTTGTATGTGTGTCTCCATGTACAACAGTTTTTCTCAGACAGTACTTACCCTGGGTAGTGGTACCGGCCCTGGCAGGCATTTTGGAATTTGTGAGGCATATTTAGTTATGACTGATTGAAAAGGGGGTCCTGAGGTTTACGGAGCAGGGCTGGGGATGCTAGGTATTCTGTAATGGATGGAACAGTCCTCACATGAAGAATTACCCTGTATCCTATACAGCTTTTGAGTGCTGCACGGGATATTCATTTATAATTAACTGGCCTAGAACTTAACTCTATTTTTTGTATTAACATAATGTATTTTTTGGCACAGTTTAATATAGTAAAATTTCCAGGAATGTAACTCTAATGTAAATCAAGGGGAAATTATACTAATTTGTGGTTTGGAACTTTAACAAGAGTTGTTCCTCACTCTAGAAAAATCACATAACCGAAGGCAGCACAGCTCGTGGTATTTGAGTTGCCAGTACAACACACCTGCATAGTCTGCGTTTGTAGCTTTTGCGTTTGTGGTGATTCTAAGTTTAGGTGCAAGCATCTGACTACTGTACTTCATTATGTATTCTAGTGTAGTCAGCCTGAACATTTGTGTATTTAAACATATGCTATTTCATCATAAATTACTTCTATTTAAAATTGGCTTCTGAATATGATACAGAGTAGGGGTCGGATTTTATTATTTTCCAGTTGGATAATCACTCATCCTACCACCGTCTATGCAGTCCTCCACCCAGTGAATCACACAGCCACCTCCTTCCTGTATGAGGTTCTCACAAATGCATGGATCTGTTTCTGGGTTCTGGATTTGATACCACTGGTCCATGTGTCTTTGTGCCACCATCACACTGTTTTAATTACCTTGGTTTCATAATGTATCTTGTAGCAGTTGGTAACAAGAAAGGCAAGTTGCCATCCTAGTTCTCAAAATTGTTCTGGCTATTCTTGGGTTTTTACTTTTTCATATGAATTTAGGATTTGTTTTCATGTTCCACAAAAAAGCTTCAGATTTTGGTTAAAATCACATTAAATGTATAGATTAAGGAAAATTGACATCCTTTCATTGAACCATCCCATCTAGACCTGTGGGTTTTTTTCTCTAATTGGGGCTGCTTTATTACTCTGTCCAGGTGCTTTTAAAGTAAAATGTCTTTGAATAAAGTTTTATAATTTTAGCTATAAAAATCTTACAAATCTTTTGTTATGTTTATTCATACTTATATACATACACAGATATATCTTTTGTCTTAGTTACGTTCTCAGTGCTGGGACAAAATACCCAATACCTGCAAGTTTAAGGAGGAGAGGTTTAGTTTTCCTCACAGTCTGTAGAGGTTTCAGCTCATAGTTGGCCATTCCAAGGCAGAGAGGCATGGCAAAGGGCTATGGCAGCAGAGAAACAGTTGTTGGGATGACAGGTGGAAATCAGAGAGAGATCAAGGGAGGAGGAGAGCTATATATACTTCCTGACCAGCCCACCTCTTCCTACCAAGCTTCACCTCCAAACATCACACCCAGCTATAAACCCATCAGTGGACTAATTCAGTGTGAGTATTACACACTCACAGTCTAGTCACCTCCCCCAAACCCCTACCTACGAACATATGAAGCTTTAGTGAGACATACTGTACACTACAACATCTTTTTACTATAAGGATTCAGATATATTCTAAGGTATGCAAAATATAGCCCACATCCACATACCCACCACCCAGCTTCAATAACTAGCTCATGACCAGTCTTATTTCATGTTAACCCCCTTCCAATTCCTACAGTTTCTGTTACCTGTAATGTTATATTTGCATCTGTTCATATGTATACCATAAAACACTGCAATACTTTAAAAAAACCTTTTTCACTTAATATGAAATATTCAGCCTGTTCAAATTTCCCCAGTCATAAAAGGTTTTTACAAGTGCTTTGCTTGAATCAAGGCTTAAACTGGGTCTATATATTGCATTGGGCTGATAGGCCTCTTAAGATTCTTTAAACATTCTAATGAAGTGTAACACACAGATAGAAAGGCGTACAAATCCTAAATATGTGGCTAGATACAGTTTACAAAAATGAACAAAACCAGGTTACTAATACACAGATTAAGAAACAGAGTTATATCAGTGTTATGGCTCATTTCTAGATGTCCTCCCAAAGCTTCATGCCTTCATAGTTGGGGCTTTTCAGAGCTGGCTGGATCTAGGGTGTGTGATATGAGATTAGGGGCATGTGGTACTAAATTAATCCACTGATTAGTGTATTTCTGGTTGTGGATGATGGGAAGGCTTCATGGGTGGGTGTGGGTGGCACCACTCAAAAGGCTTGTAGCCTGGATGAGATAAAAGGGAAGGAGAGACTGTTCATGCCTGCTGCCTCCTGCCTGTTCTGTTGTGGACTATTTCTCCTCTACCGTGCCCCTCTGTCATGCCAAACTGCCTTGGAGACAGTCAACTATGGACTGAAACCTCTACAAACTATGAGCTGAAATAAACCTTTCCTCTTTTAACTTGTGGGTGTCGGGTATTTTGTCTCAGCGATGAAAAGTAACTAACACAGTCAGTACACCAAAACTTCCTCTAATCACTGTGTTCTGCAGGGTAAACGTACTTCTGACTGCTAGGCCACCCAAAGTAGTTTGGCCTATTTTTTAAACATTATATAAATGAATGTTATAGTATGAACTCTTTTGCATCTATCTTTTTTACTTAATATTTGTACAATAAGTACCTACATCATTGGATATAGTGATAGGCTCACTCTCATTTCTTTATACAATTGTGTTGATGAATGAATACACTGTGTGTATAATACCACACTTTCTCAATTCTTTGGGTGGATATATGAGTTGTTTCCTTTTGTAAGTATTTCAAAAGGGCTTCAGGGAGTTATTGTGTATGTATTTGTTTATTTTTATTAGTACATGCTTGCAGTACATAAATTGGCACATGTACATAGCACATCTTAATTCCTTTTTTTATCCCCTTTCTCTCCCCTCTCCCCCTCCCTCCTATGTCCATCCAGATGAATGGGTAAAGAAAATACGATATTTATACACAATGGAATACTACTGTGCCATAAAGAAACACTTGAGTCATTTGTGGGAAAATAGATGTACTTTGAGAACATAATGTTAAGGGAAATGAATTGATATATTAAGTTTAAAGATTGCGTGGTTTCTCTTATATGAGAAACCCAATATTGTATAAAGTGCAAAATAAAATATAGGTAATAGGAAGTAGGGGGATAGATCTTTCTCAGATGGGAAGGAGCAGTGAATTTCTGTACATGTTTTTTGATAAACTTGGTATGCATGTCTGTCAGGAATACTCCTAGGAATGAAAGAGGTGGATCTGGGGTGTGGGAATATTCAGCTAATAAATATTACCAAGTCTTCAAAGCAGTTGTAACAGTTTATAGTCTTATCAGCATTGCATGAAGGTTCTATTTATTCTTTGTCTTTGCTAACTTTTGTGTTGTCTTTCATGTTCATTTAAGTTATTCTGGTGTGTATAGAGGCACTAAATTTTGGTTTCTTTTTAAAAAACTTTTGGTTTTTATTTGCAATTTTTTGATGACTAAGTTGAGCTACATTTCACATAAAGGTCATTCAAATGTCTTTGTCAATATTTGTGCTTTTGTTTTTCCTCTCTCTTTTTCTGGTACTGGACATTGAACCTGGGGGCACTCTACTATTGAGCTTTTATTTTTTATTTCAAGAAAAGATCTTGCTAAATTACCCAGGCTAGGCTCAAACTTGTGATTCTCCTGCCTCAGCCTCTCTCAGTGCTACGGGGATGTGCTACCACACCTGGCTGTTCTTGTTTTTATTTGCTGTAACTGTCAGATTTGATACAAGTGTACTAAAATTTTCCACTAAATTTCTGGGTGTGTTCATTTATTGTAGTGCTTAGGTCAATTTTGGCTTTGTATATTTTGAGGCTTTGTTGTTAGGTTCATATTTGTTTCAAGTTGTATTTTTTTCCTAAATTACTTCTTTTGTGACAGTTCTTATTAATATTCTTCAATAATATTAATATTCTTTATGTATTTTTCTTAATACTTACATTGCTTTACTAGTTTTTATTTTTACTTTTTAAAAATTGTAGTAAAAAACAACTTAAAATTTATTATCTAAACCAATTTTAAGTATACAGGTTAGTAGTGTTAAGAATATTTACATTTTTCACTAGAGATGTGGCTCAGTGGAAAAATATTTACATTTTTGTGAAACAGATCTCCAGAACTTTTTCATCTTACAAAACTAGAACTCTGTACGTATTGAACATCTCTCTGTCCTCTCCTTTCCCTGGTATTTCCTGTTAGTATATGCTTTTGTTTGTTTTTAAATTTTCTTTTCAGTCTCTCATTATGCTTTTTGTATACCTTTTATAAAGAGCTGTTTTTATTTTTTAAAAAACAACCAATATGAGAGTCTTTCAGTAGTCTGCATTTGCTGTAACTATTGTTGTATTTGGTTTTATATTTAAATCTTATTTTATATTTTTAACTTTCCTTGCTTTGTTCTTTCCCAATTCCCCCGTCTGTTTTCTTCCTTTACTTTTTTTCACTGTGCTAGTGTGGAAGCTACTCGTTCTGTTTCTATTGTTTGGTATTTACCTATATTTTAAAAAAATCAAGTATACATAGCTTAGTAAAACCTGATAGGTAATCATTAATTCTCACTTCCTCCAGAGCAAAGTGATATCTGTAGACTGCCTTGACTTTGAACTATTCTTTCCCTTCTTCCATATGACTGTTGAGTGATATTTTAGTTCTTCCTTATTTGCTAGCCTTTCAAAAAATTAGTCATTATTATTACGGGAATCTCCATAGACAATACTGGCTTATGTAAAATCCCCTTACATTCTTCCTGGTATCTCACACCTCCTTTATTGGTTCATTTTCCTTCTTGCTTACGTACACCTCTGAATAGCTCTTCCAAAGGGATATTGAGAAGTAAACTCCATGTCAATGTTTGTATGTCTGAAAGCATCTTCCTTTTATGGGTAAGTCTTAAAGGAACATTACCTGCCCACCTGCGGTAGTATTCCAACAGAGGTTTTGGTTTTATCTCTGCTGGGATAGTGTAGGTTTCTCAATTTCAGTCTAGTTTTCATGCCAGTGGATTTCAGTACCATCTTGATGTGTGATTCAAACCCTAAACTTGCCTGGGATTCAAATTTAGGATTCAGATTTGTTTTGGGTTGGTATTTTTTTTCACCCATGATCAGAAGCACTTGGCCAGCTTTCTTCCAACACCTTAGCAAATTTTTTAGACCCTATTTCAAAAGCCAGGTCAGCCTTTTTGATGCAGCATGATGCATTATTCGCAGTCCCAGTTCTTTGTGTTATGGATCTGCAACCTCATCTGCCCCAGCCAGGACCACTTGGAGAGGGTATATCTGGCACTAGGACCCCTGGACAGTCATGAGCTCAGCTCCTGCTTACACTTGGGCTGAGCTACAGTTTTTTTTAAAGAACCTGTGGATTTTCCTTCATTGGTCTTTATAGATGAAGTGTTTAAATTGTAAGTTATTGAGCATTTCTGTGTGTTTACTCTTGTGCTGGGACACTTCCACTGTTAGCCCTGTCCAGCGCATTGATCGGAAGTTAGTCATCTTTCTGAACCTTGACTTTATTCACCTTTACTTACCTGTAGACCTGTTCACACTACTTCCTTTATTCATTCAACTAATGCTTACCGCACATAATTTCTGTGCTACAAACTGGGAATACATACCAGGGTGAAGAAAATATAAAATTTCTGCCCTCATGAGTTTATTGTCTTAGTTAGAGAAAGAGAAAACAAACATCAGCAAATGAATACAAAATACTCAATATGGGGGCAGCTCAGTGGTGGAGTACTTGCCTGGTGTGCGTACTCAAGTACTTGCCTTGAGTTCAGTCCCAGCACTGCAAAACAAAACACCCTCTTGGTTCCTGCTGCACTTTGTTGATGGAGTCGAGTGTGGACGGCTGTTTCGAGATCAGTCTTCTCCAGCACTCCTTCAGCTTCTGCCAGAAGGGACGTCTGCCTTTGTTCCTGGCTTATAACACACTGCTTTATAGGGGAAGCACGGAATGTGTGTTGACCGAATAAATGTAATTCTTTTTTAGCTGTTGATGTTTAAAGCTTCCTTTTTCAGTAACTTTTTAACAGACTTTCTTATAGGTAGTATTTTTCATGGTATTTAAATTATCACGGTAAAGAAAAACAGCAACCTAAGGGAGAATTTGTTTGCCGAAGAATCATCCCTGATACAGAAAAGGAAAATTGAGGAAGGTACTGTAGGTACTCGCTGATACCCTGTGGTGAGTTGAATGGTGGCTCCCCAAAAGATAAGCACAAGCCAGATGTGGTAGGGCACGCCTATAATCCTCACACTCAGGAGGCCGAGGCAGGAGGATCATTGTGAGTTCAAGATGAGCCTGGGCTACGTAGTAAATTCAAAACTAGCCTGAACTACCTAGAAAGACCCTGCCTGAAAAAAAAAAAAAAAAAAAAAATCCCCCAAACAACATAGCAAAACAAAAGATAAGTCTGTATTCCAACTTTTGGAATCTGTGAAATTAGCCTTAATTCACAAAAGAGTCTTTACAGATGCAATTAAGAATCTGGTGATAAGATCATTCCAGGTTATTCTAGTAGACCTTAAATCCAGGGGAAATACCCTTTTAATGGACAGAAAAAAAGAAAAGAGAGACAGAGAAGGCCATGGTGATGAAAATAGAGACAGATTGGAGTGAGTCACAAGCCAAGGAGCACCAGAAGCTGAAGAGACCAGGAAGGGTCCCCCTAGATCTTTGGAGAGCTCAACCCTACCCATGTCTGTATTTTGCACTTCTGGTCTCAAAAACAGTGAGAGAATGAACTTCTGTTGCTGCAGGGCACTAATTTGGAAACAAATGCATGCCCCTTTGCAGTTAGGCTGCCCTGACACCTGTAATATGGATGTAACAGTGCCTTCCTCAGGAGCTTCTTGCCATGATTTCATGAGACATATTTATAAAGTATTTAACACACAATAAATATCAAAAAATATTGATGACTGTTCTCCCTCCTCTTTAAGGGCTGGGCATTTTCTTCCTTGTGTGAATAAGCACTCAGGCAACACTGTGAAAATTCCTGTCCTGGGATTGCCTGGTGAGTCAAAGTCCACACTCTGAATTTAACTTGCGAGCTTCAGCTTCTGCTTTAGCGCTGGAGCTCCCAGCTCTGGCATCCTCTAGCACTCCCCAGTGAGGGTTTTGTCGCAGGCAGAGTTCAGCTTTCCACTGTGGGTAGGGGAAAAAAAAACTGGAACCCAGAAACCACATTTAAATGACCCAGCAGGGCAGAGGGCTATTTCTCAGTGTCCAACACGAACAAAGACTTCGGGTCCTCAAGTTCTGATCCCTATTCAGGGCTTCCAGGATGGGACACTGCTGAGAGCTAAAGGCCTCCCATCTTGTGGAGTGTGGACTTTCTGTACTTGTCTTAGGGCCGGGCGTGGGCGTGGGTAGGAGCCCAGACAGGTGGGAGCTGATGCTGCCTTCTTCCCCAGGATGGCTGGCGCGGTGCTGGGAGTGGGTGCCGGCGTGTTCATCCTAGCCCTGCTCTGGGTGTTGGTGCTGCTGCTGTGTGTGCTGCTATCCAGAGCCTCCGGGGTAGCTAGGTAAGGCATTCTTTCCAGCTGGGAGTCCTAGGTAAAAGCAATTAGAGGTAAAATCGCTGACGCTCATTAAACATTTAGAATTCCGAAGATCATTTTTGTAATTACTGGCAGTTTGAATGAGTTGCATTTTAACCTCTTATCATAAGCACTAACTGTGTTATTTATGCTCCGAGGCAGAGGTGGGAGGAGAAGGGAAGTGCATTTTTCAGTTCTTACTGTGGAGGAGATGCGGGGAGACAAAGATGACAAGAAAATATGCTTTCACTGCATGCTGAATGTCTTGGAGTTGTATGTGGGAGATTTTCTTAATTGTTCAGATTTATGATGTACATACATGCTTGTCCAGTCCCTAAGGCTCTAGACCTGGGCCTGGAGAAACTACAGAGGCATTCTGTGGGTTGGATCTGCCCTTTGTATCAGGGCCTGATTTTGTAGAACAGAACAGAGTTAGGCCATAAACTGACCCTGAAAAATATGGCAGAATTGTACTCGGGTGAGGCAGTGTCAGTGAGAAGCGGCGTTACAACATTTACTCAAGTGTTCTGGGCTAAAAACAATGGACGTGAACGTGAAGAGGGGCTGCTTTGATTTTTCTTGGCTATGATTTTATGCAGAAACAGAAAAACGGTGAATTCCCCTTGTCAGAATTTGGTACAGGAAGCACCCAGCTGGTGCCTGTCTAGGAGGAGAGTTTTTGCCTCTGGTCACTGTAAGGGGACGGAAGCATAGAATACTGGCCCCAGAGAGCAGCCAGTCTGGGCCTAGCAGGGTAGTGAAGAAACTGTTAACAGTGCCCTTAATACTTGTCTTTCTGACCCCAGGTTCTCTGTCATTTTTGTATTCCTCGCTGCTCTGGTCATCACGGCAGTTCTGTTGCTCTTTCCCCGAGCCAGTGAATTTCCAGCCCCAGGAGTGGAAATGAAGGTAAAGCTGTTGGTTTTAGTACTGTGCAAACCTCCATTCCCCCCAAGACGTGTTAGGACTGTAACTTTCACACAATGGTGGGGGACGTTCAGAGGCCATTGTAAGCCCCTCTTTCGTCATCCAGGGGAGGGACCTTATAACTACCAGCTGCGACCCCGCAGGCTGCGGCTTATCAGACCTCAGCTCATCTCCAACTTGCATCAAGTTACTAACAACGTGTCGAAAGGCTGCCACTCACTGAGAGGACAGAGAAAGAGAACACGAGCTGGGAATGGGAACAGACCTGCCCCGCAGTGAGGTGTTCCCATTCCTGTAGCCTTGGCTACAGGGCCTCAGACCCTGGGCCCAAGCCCTCAGAGTGCCCTCGGCCCAGCAACATGCCTTTCCCTTTCTCTGGGTGTACTTTTTCCACCTTTGATGTGGAGAGAGCTGCTTCCATAGATAAGAGAAGTAGAGAAAGGGAACATCTCTATGGAAAGAAGAAGGTAAAGATATATACATGGGTTGAGCCAGGCGTGGTAGTGCACACCTGGAATCTCAGCTCATTGGGAAGCTGAGTCAGGAGGATCACAAGTTTGTGGCCGGCCTGAGCAACTTAGTGAGACCCTCAAAACACAAAAATTTTAAAAGGGCTGGGGATGTAGCTCAGTGGTAGAACACCCCTAGATTCAATCCTCAGTAGTCCAAAAGGGAAAATAAAAGCTATAGATCAGTGGTGGCGAACCTATGGCATATGGGCTGTTTGTATCACTGAAAGCTCTAAAAGTTTCGCCATCAGTGCTAACCACTCCTTAGTCTTATGACTGTGTCTGCCAGCTTGCACCTCTGTGAGTTTTTATCACCTCTCATCATCTTCTTCTGGAGATGCCAACTCTCCTGGATCATCTCTGATGTGGTACTCTGGCTTCACCCAGCACGGCTGGTCTCAAACCCATAGGATGTCGATAAAGGCATTGATCCCTTCTGACCCAATTTCTTCTCATAGCTTCTTTCCTCTCGACTTCCATTTTAACGTTTAAGTAGAATGGTGATCACAGCTAACATTTCCTGAAGGGTTGCTGTGTACTGGGTTCTGTAATACGTATGTTTGCATTATCTCATTTAAACCGCAGGGCAGCCCTAAGTAGTATCATGCAGGTACTTTAACTTCCCCGGCTTATAGATAAGAATACTGAGGCTGTAAGAGATTAAGGTAACCTGACAAAGGTCACACATATACATAAAGAGACAGAGCAGGGATTTAAGGGGTCAGTCTTAAAGCAATCCTCATTGTCTAGGGGCTCAACAGTATAGCAAGGGCCACCCCAGAGGACTCACGGGTTTCCAGGTGATACTAGAGAACCATACACAAAGTTATATAACTTGTAGACTATCTTAGACACACACTCCCAGCTCTACCTAGGGACTAAAGCATGAAAAAAGGAAGGAAATTAGTTCTCAAAACTCAAGGAAAATAATGCCCCATGAATTCAAGGACTAATTTCCATGGGTGTTGGGGTTTTGTTTGCATTTGGAAATTGCTCTTAAGGTGTAAGTACCTATGTGAATGAGGAGTAAATTCCCACCTCAATGACCTTGTCTTTGTATTAAGGGGGAGAAAGTGACATCAGCTATGTGTTTCCACACTGAGTAGATGCGGCTGGGAAGATGGCACCAGACAAGCGTGGTTTTGAAATCAAGCTCTATTCTCTGTCGTATGAGCTTCAGACTCCAGAGAAAATTGAATTTGAGCAGGATGTATTTGTCAGCATGGCCACAGAGCTGGAGTCCTCATTTTCAGGTTTTGAGAACTGGCCCCTGCAGCAACCTGGCTCAGTACTGTATCAATAATACATGACCTGGGCCTTCTGCACCCTAGGCCTGCTAATTGGCTCATTAAAAAGTGAAACAGTTGAACGAACAAACATGTAGCCCACCAGAGACTTGTTCAGTGCTGGAGCCAAGGTCAAAGCTACGTTAAAGTTGATGTATCAAATTGACCTTAGCCGGAAGTAGACGGTGGGGTAATCTCAGGAGTAGCTGGGTCGTCTGCGGCCTTCTTAGAGTCTGTGGGGCTCAGTGGTTGCTGTCAGTGCTTGGGTGTGATGAGACTGTATTAGTTTTCTATTGCTGCAGTAACAAATGGGTGCAATGGCTTCACAGTTCTTCAGAAGTCCACACGAGGTCTTGCTGGACTAAAATCGAGGGGTTGGCAAGGGTGACATTCCTTCTGGAGGTTGGAGGGCTGTTTCCTCATCCTTCCAGCTGCTAGAGCCTCTAGCTGCCCTCATCCTTAGCTTCTGCCCCCTCCTCCATCTTCCAAGCCAGCAACACCACATCTCTCTGCTCCAGCCTCCGTCCTTATATCTCTTTCTTTAACTTGTAGGGACCCTTGGTTGACACTGGGCCCACCTGGATTGGGTAGTCCAGGCTAACCTTGCTATTTTAGGGACAGCTGATTAGTACCTTTAATTCCCTGTTGTCGTGTAATCTCTTATAGTCTCGGTTTCTAGAGATCGGGATGTGGACGTCTTTAGGTCATTATTCTGTCTATGACAGTCACCTCTCAGTTCTTCTGGATTCTTTTCTAGCCATGGGTTCTCAAAGCTTCTGTAAAGTCAGCCAGTTACACCCACTTGGTTGGTGTTGCTGCTCCATTAGGTCTGTACGTTCAGTTGTGTCCTCCTGCCCACATTTAAGTACCACCATTTGGCCCTGGGGAGAGTGGAGTGTTGGCAGTGGACAGCAGGTAAGTGGGTAGAGCTGACACCAGTTATATGTTTTTGTCAACAGAGATGAGTAGAATTAGGGCGTCAGGGATGGCTGGTTTAGCATATCACGGGACAAATTCCTTGTCCTTTTAAGGATTTTAGTATCTCAACCAAATGGCCATTTCCCCTCCCTGTTAGGATGCTGAGTAAAAAATATTAGTGTTCAAAACTCTTCTGATGACAGCTATAAAGAGACACCATATCATTTTGAAAACTCAACAGCAATGGGTTGATGGTTTTTAGGGTTGGGTCCTGTGGACATGGGGTTTATTATATTACTGTATTTTAATGTGTGTTTATGAGGTTTGCTAGGACCAAGTAGGCTTCGTATTAACTCTTTCAGGTAACTGACTTCAGAACATGAAAAGAACTCATCCAGGCACTTTAAAGCATGTATGAACCTCCTAAATTGAGTTATTCCTTCCCTGTATTTGTTAATCCTTTATGTCTCCTTCTCAAGGAGTTTGAGGGAAAAAAATCTTACCTATTTGCAGAGGAGGCTCAGGGCAGGCTGTTACTGGACGTTACACCTATGAATGAACAGACTCTCAGCTGTTCATCACAGATTTGAGGTGAATCCAGCCAGGATGTTGATGTGGAGGGATTTCACTTTGACATCTTCTCTCCCCAGATTGTGGATACCTTTTTCATTGGCCGCTACATCCTGCTGGCTGTCCTCAGCGCTGTCTTCCTTGGAAGCCTCTTCTTGCTTCTAACACATCATGTCCTGGAGCCCGTCTATGCCAAACCCCTGCGGTCCTACTAAGCATTATTGGGGAAACAGAGGCCCTTGGCCTCCTGTCTTTCATGTGGACGCCATGGATGCACAGAAAGTCACTCGTCAGAGCCTTGTTCTTACAGCCTTCATGTCTTAAGGGTAAGGGACTGTCCATGCTCCCTAGGATAAGTGTATTGAGCCCTGGACTCCAGCAGCAGGGTTGCAAAACGGTCTGCGGGGGACAGAGTCTCACCCACTTGAGAGGGATATTGTCATCTTGCTATCTGTTCTTCAGGGATTTCATGTTTGGAAAGGGAAATAGTCATCCGCTTAGAGCAGATTTTCAATAGTTATTGGTAAGTAGATTTTGGAGTGTTTTGGCTTCTGCTATCCAATAGAAGAATCTGGACTTTTTTGATAACACAGTATGTAAACTTCTTTATTCTTTTTTCTTTTTTGGTACTGAGGAATGAATCCAGAGCCTTCACACTAAGCTACATCCCCAGCCCTGTTTTTATTTTATTTTTTTTTAATATAATTTAATTTTATTTTTGAGACTGGGCTTGCTAAATTGCCCAAGTAGGACTTGAACTTGCCATCCTCCTGCCTCAGCCTCCCAAGTACTAGGATTACAGGAGTGTGTTTGAAATTCCTAATTATGAAGTTGGATTCCCTCAGAAAGGAAAGATACTCAACTTTTTTGTACTTTATCATAGGGTCTATAATAAATACATTGTAAAAATTAAATAAATTAAACTTCAAAGAAATTAGTGTACTACTGGCATGTAAGTGTATACTTAATCTTTCCAACTTGGTCCCTTGGTTCTGAATTTTAAACCAGAAGACCCATTTTCAAGTAGCTATGGGACTCAGGATAACATTTATGATACAGAGCATACCAGAGCCCCTGCATTTAGTGACAAATTTCACTGAGTTTGGGACATTAGACAGGTATCAGAATCTAACTTTGAGAATGTACATTCCTAACTAGCTTTGGAGAAAGGGCTACAAAGATAAGAAGAGCTCACAGCCCAAGAAGGACTCCTCTGGTTATTAAATGAGGTTCACAGCGGGCATAGATCCTGGAAGAAAAACCCAGAGATTTGTGGCATTAAGACAGACACCCACCACTTATACACCTTTCCTCTAATCCCCAAGCAATCTTGAAATATAAAAATACTAGTTTTGGAACTGTGGTTGAGTTTGACCTGAACATCAGCGTTGGTGGTTGTTTATTGGTTTAGTAGAGAAGAGGGAAGTGACTGCTGTTACCTTTATAGAGTTCTGGGGAGTTATATGTGGAATGGTCAATAACATCTAAATAAGCCTTCCAGTTTCAGTATATGTGCAGCCAAAGCGAGCACCTAAATAATAAGGCTTCCAAATTATCACATTAAAATAGCTTTTGCTTTTTAGTGTCTTTCCTTCCTAAGTGGGTGCAAAAGGCCTGTATGTCACCAGGAATCAAAAGGATCCAATCAAAGGCGTGGAGCTCACCGTAGCATCCCATGTGAGTCCGTATCAGAAGGCTGACAGGTCTCCCCTGGAAGGCTGAAGGGCCGATTCTAGAGGCTGGAGTCTGCGCTGAAAGCCAAGAAACGACGTCCAAGGTGAAAGCGAAGACTGGAGCTTCTCCGAAGGAACAGAAGCAATCCCTCCTTCTTCTTTTCCCTCTTATACACTCTGGCAATAATCCTCCCTAGGGTGGGTCTTCCACACCCAGAACTACACTGAGCCAATTTAGTTGGGTGTTGTATATTCAAATTGACACAGTCAACCAAGCATCAGACCTACTAAGCTCTGTAGAACTTTGATTGAGAGCTTGAGGGAGATTAAGACTACCTCTTGCTTTCTGTCCTGGACCCTGTCGTCAGGGTAGAGAGGTCCCCAGTCCTGCCTCCCCTGAGGGGCTCAGCCCTAAATGACAGGAGGCAAGAGCTGGTGACAAGAGTCTTGGGTTGGTGAGGGTCAGGTGGAGTTGTACCTCCACTTAAACTGACTCCTTTACCCGCTTAGTTTGGGAAAACTTTGCAGAGAATGCTTCATGCAGAAAGTCTTAAAGGAAATCATTTTCTTCCCAGCTTTTTAAAAAATTTTTTATCTTTTTAATTTTTTTTATTAGTACATATTTGCCATACATAACGCTCACATTCATCATAGGGAATGTGTACCTGTACGCAATGCCTTAATTTTTTCCCATTCCCCTCCTGCTCCCTTCAACCCTTCTTCCGCTCCCCGTTTACAAAAGCTTTGTTTCCATTTTTTCTTCCATGCTGTCTTTTTAAAAAAATCTCTTCCTTTCCCCTCCCCTCTCCTTTGTTCCCCTTCCCATCTGAACCTGTTGTTCCTGCTTCACAATAACTACCCTTCATTTGGTCCTTATTTACCCTTTGAGTTCCGTACACTAGAGAAACAATGCAATATTTAAACTTGTGTGTCTGATTTATTTCACTTAAAATTATGGTCTCGAGGTGCATCCATTTATTTTTGCCTTTTTCCTCTTTTTTTTTTTTTGGTATCAGGAATTGAACTCAGGACCTTGTGCTTGCCAGACAGGCACTTGTGCCACTGAGCTATGTCCCTGGCCTGGTGCATCCATTTATTAAAGGAAATTGTTTCTTAATCTGGCCAAGGACCCATAGGTAAGAGAAGAAACATCCCTCCCTGTTTGTCAAAAGAGAGGGGAGAACGCGAAACATGGTGGACTCGTGTTCATGGTCTTTTGCACCTGACATGCGCAGTGATGCTTCCAGATGCGTGGGCCTCTGTGCGGACCTGGAGTCCGCTGCAGTGGGACAGCGCTGTCTTACAAACACAGGTCACTGTACCTCCTCCCGAGAGACTTGCTGAAAAAGCAACTCTGGGAATGCTCTTACAGGTTCCTGACTATGAATCCATTTTTTTATTTCTCCAAAAAGGTGTTCAACTATTGAATAATAGTAGAGAGCTTTTGGGGGACTGTTCACATGGAGAAGGATGTGTTAAAGTTGGAAGGTCTAAATTCCTTCTCATACAACACTGCTGTCTAACGTTGCAATTTTTAAACCCAATGTGACCGACAGAGTTGTGTGCTAAGGCTGGCTTTAAGCAAAAACTATACTTTGTACAGTGTATTTCAGTAAGACCTGCCTTCTCTAGTTCCTGGATCTGTAATTACCGGCTGTGCTGCGATGAATTATTTTGTCCTGTATCTGCAGGTAATCATGGTGACCCTAGAACAGAACCCCCACGGGCTGGCCCCAGTAGTGGAGGGCTGAGAGCGCGCACAATGTTTGTTTCAGAGACCTGGACACCAGGTGCATCCATGTCAGCTTCTGAGATGGCGCCTCGTGTCATGGCCTCCCTGGAGCCAGGGCTTGGAGCCCTCCTCCACATAGTGTTTCCTTGACAGTTTTGTGGTCAGTTGGCCTCAGAGTAGGTTGTGCTCTTCTTTTCCCTATTCAGAGACTGGTGATCCTAACTGTTTAGAAGTTTGGGAGGGAGAGTAAATCCCGGCTCTTCCATGTGGAAATGGTTTCTTTCATAGCCTCCCAAACTTGTCTCCTGACAAACTAAATTAAAGTGCACACCTCAGCCCCCACCCGCCATAGAGAAATTTGAGCCTTCAGGTAGTGCTGTGTGTTATGTTTTAGAAGTTTCTCAAGCCAACAAAGCACTTAGCAATTCCTTCATAAATTCCTGAAATTTCTCATTTGTAATGCACCTTCTTGATGCAAGGTATCTGATTTCTAATGTACAGATGCATCACAAGTACTGTATGACGTTCAGGCCCTGGGGAATGCCCAGTGCTCATGTCGCATGCCTGCCAGGGACAGCAGCGGTCCCACTGGATCATGCAATCACTGAGCCAGCCTGTGCAGCCTGTCTTCCCAACTCCCATTTCAGGATAAAGACATCCCAATTACTTCAAAATGTTTCTTTTATTCTAAGAAAGTAATCTGTGTCTTGTTCTGACAAGACATAAACTTTTTTTATTGACTATTTCATTGCTGCTGCAGCGGAAGCATTTGTTTTATTCTCAGTGTAAAAAGAAACCTACTGCCATTGTTTTCAGAGGAAAAACAGAAAAAGAGGAAAAGGCATTTTAAAAGCTTCATAGCTGGGTGGTAGTGGCACTCAAAATGTGAGACTGGCCCAGCCTTCAAGTGCATCCCTAATATTTCTGAGTTTACAGATCATTTCTGGCTTTCAAACAACTCATTTTTTCGTTGGTTAATGCTGTATACCTGCCCATTTCCCTAACTTATATCCAAAAGCTTAAAAGAAGTTCCTTTAAATAATTCTAACTAACATTGATAGTACCAATAACAAACGTTTTATTTTAACTCCTTAGCTTGAACCTTTCAGTATTTGGCTGTAGTTATATAGAAACAAGTTTCCAGGTGTGGGAGTTAGAGCTGTAGGGAAAAACAAGAACAGAAATCTATGGAAAGGAGACTAGAAAAGCGTTGACTGTCCTTGTAGGAGCATACAAACTGAGGATTAGGAAGGATTTTATAGACGTGGAGCTCAACCTTTAATCTTTAGATCCATCCCAAAATTTAGAAATAAGTGCGCTTCACATGCTGAAATCACAACTTTTATTGCATTTAGCAAATGAGTGCCAGGCATTTTTCTAAGCAGGCTGTAAGCAGTAACTCCTGTCCTCCCACACCTTCCCTGCTAAGTGGGACCCTACATCCCCACTGCGCAGAGGGGAGCAGGCGCGCACGGCGAGCTGGGTGCTGAGGCCGCCTGCAAGGGGGATGCAGGGCGCAGGACCTGCGGTCAGGTGGTTTGGCTCCCGTGTTTACTCCGTTCTATCATACTGCGTTGCTGTGTGAGACAGCAACAGGACAGGAGGGGACCAGGATCAGGCACTGCAAATCCGCTCGATGGAAACACTGATAGGAAATCCAGAATCGTAGGAATCGGGCTTCGAGAGTCTGGGGCAAAGCAGTTAAAAGACAAGTGGGACCTCAGAGACTTCACCGATGAAACCTATGTTTCTGGCAGGTTTCTGCTTTGTCAGACGTTGGCCTGCCCAGGCCGATGAGCACCAGACAATTGAGCAGGTACGATAGTAGACTGAGTTTCCCAGAAGGGTGTAAAGGATGCGGTGCTTACATGTTATGTGGCTGTCCCCTCCACTTGTTTTTAAGCTTTGGGGATTTCATTGTTGCCTTGTCTTTAAATTGATCATCTCCTAGGAGGAAGGCATCACCGAAGCTGGGCTCCCCTGCTCAACCTCACCCCGTGTTGCTGTGGCCCACTTCGCTTTTTGGGGCCTTAGGGTTCCGCGAAAGAAGGGAAGGGTGGTCAGTGAGAGGGTCCCATCAAAGCCCAGCACCTCAGCACGCTGTCCTGCCCATTGGCCTGTGTCGGCCAGCTGGGTTCATTCCCTCTCGCTTCTCCCTCCCTCCCTCCTCTCCCTTCCCTTCCTTTCCCCTCCCGCTCTGTCCTCTTGCTGTTTTTTTTGGACAGGGTCTCACTTTGTAGCCTGGCTGGCCTCGAACTTGCAGTGACCCTCCTGCCTCTGCCTCCTGAGTGCTGGGATTACAGGTGTGCACCACTGCGCCCGGCTTCTGCTTCTCTGGCCTTCCAGGTCCTGAGCTTGCGCCCCTCTCCCCCTCAGCTGTGCCTCCTCAGAGCTGCGCTGAACCTCAGCCACTGCCCTCCCTAACTTCCGCTGACCTTTCACACCACCTGCAGCGCCTCTGCCAAAAACAACATCGCTAACTCGGCTGTTCTGTTTCGCCCGCCCTGGGCATTGGCAGCGTCAGCTCTGCCTCGTCAGGCTGTGCAGATCCATTCCTCCTCTGTGGCCCACATGTCAGTCAGCCCAGCTCCTGCCAGCCGCTGTTCTCCCCAAAACCCCCAGGCTCCACCACCTCTTCACTCTGGCCCAACGCAGCTCATTCCCACTGGAGGACCAAGGTTGTTCTAAAACTCCAGCCACGGGTTCAGAAATAGCCATCACAGGGCTGGTAGAGCAAGTGTTTAGCACACTGCAGGCCCATGGTTCAAACCTCCACACAAAAGAGGGAGGCAGGAGGGAGGCTGAGGCAGGAGGATCTTTGCAAGTTCGAGACCAGCCTGGCCTACAAAGAGAGCTCAAGCCCATCCTGAACTGCATAATGAGACCCTGTCTCAAAAAGACAAAAAAAAAAAAAAATTAAAATTAAAAAAAATTGATCATCTTCTAGTTTTACCTGAGTGTATGCATTAGCTTCCATTGCTGTTTTAACAGATAACCACTATAGTGATGTAGAACAGCGCAAATTTATCAGAGAGTTCTGGAGATCCAAAGTTAGAAATGGGCTTATGAGACTAAAGACAAGCCTCAGAGACTCCAGCGCTGCAGTGGGCGTCCTTGTCTTTGCCAGCTGGTGGAGGTCGCGCACATTCCCCGGCCGGAGCGATGCAGCATCTTCCAGCCTGTGACACTCCTGCTTGCTCTGTGATTTACAAAGAACCTTATGGTTCTACTGGGTCCACGCATCTCGAGAGCCTTAATCATGTCTGCCAAGGCTCATCTGCCATGCGGAGTTATGTATCTACTGGGGGTGGGACTTAGGATGTGGGTAGGGCGGGGGCACGTCCTGCCTGCCACAGGGTGCACACGCTCTCTAGCCCCACCACCAGCTTCCTGCGCCCACAGCTTTGAGTGCACCGCCTGTGACTTTACCCACTTGTCAGCTTCCTCCGGCAACTCTCCCGGCCGCACCCAGGCCCCAGGCCCGCCCGAGTTCCTGCCTCCCCATCTCAGTCTTCGTGGTGGCTTCCCGTGCTCAGCTTTATCAAGAGCTTCTTTCCATTTTTCCTGTTGCCCCTTGCCTCCTCCTCCACCCTCCTCTAGCCCAACCTCCCAGTGGATCTGCAAAGGAGGAACGCAAAGAGTTATTGCTTTTTAATTACAAGTGCTATTGTAGCATCTATAAGGAAGAACATTTTAAGCTTAATTGAGACCAAATGTGAAGTTAAATTAAATGAATAACTAATTAACGTAATGCTCTTGCATTAGCCCCGTGTGAGTGCGGAGGCGCAGAGAGGAGGCAGGTACCAGGCCCCTGGTGAACGCTCGGTGCCCAGCTGAGGGGGCAGGGAGCCCCGAGCCGCGAGGCGAGTGCGAAGGGCAGTGCTCAGGGCTTCCCCGACCTCTGGCATCTCCAACTCCCACCCGCAGCCGAAGCCCTCACTTCTGAGGCCGGGCTCCTGAGCTCCCCCAAGCCTTTTTCATCTCTCTAGTGCCAGCTTCTCAGCTGGTAGGAGCCATGTGTCTCGTTCATTTCCCAGGGCATGGCGAGCTTTCGTGCTAACAGTCTCCGTTCGCTTCGTTCACTTCCCGCACTGCCTTACCAGGTCAGTCATCTGAGCGCCAAGCACCCACAGTGATTCCTCCGGTTCCCTGGGATCACCCCTCCCGGCTGGAGTCACACCTCCCTTTTCTCTCCTGTGGTTTATAAACATGTTCATATTCCTCGTCTCATCCCCCTACGGCGACTAGTTCCTCCAGGCAGGCCGTGAGTTTAACACTTAGCACGCCCCACAGCAATTCTGTGAGGTATGGAATGTCATTCCATTTTCTGGATGAGGAAACAGGTGTAAAGGTAGTAAGTGCTGAAGCTGAGGAAGAGAAGGCTTCAAAAAAAAAAGTCATCCTTCCCACCTGACCTTCGCGGAACAAAGTTGGCAAAAGGGAACTTCTCCCGTCTCCCTTCCCAAAGCTGGACAGCAAGCGGCCATGCTGGGTTTTACCACGGGGTTGTGTCGCCATCTAGTGGCAAACAGAAGTAACACAGCTAACCCTTAAGCGGGTCGGTCCTAAGTGATGATGTCATAGCTCTTCCGGGTCTTGAGAAAGCCGAGCATGATGGCACGCATCACAGCTCCTGCACCTTTGGGCTCTGAGGACTTAGAGGTCGCTGGACGGCTCCTACTTTCAGAGCAGAAGTGAGCATCACGCACATGAGGCTTGCCAAGTTGTCACCGCACGCGGCACACAGCCCGCTTCACTGCTGAGGCGGGGTCCTCCGCTAACGCACCTGCCAGGCAGCAGCCTAATGAACGCCATGACTGTATCTAGCGTGGACTCTCGACCCCCTGTGTGCTCGAGTATAGTGTCATGAGCACGTGTCATGCCCATCGTCACCAGCCCCAGCGCACCGGCCTTGTGGCCCCAGGACACTGCCTCCGCAACCCGTGCGAACCCCACCTGCCGCCGCTGCGCCCTACCAAGGATGAGCAGAAGTCCGGCTGGCACAAGAGCTCTGTATTGGTGCTGACGGGCAGCTGAAGAGGCCAGGCGGAAACGCGGGGAGTCCGCCTGGTGCGTCACAGCCCAGGACCGGGGGCAGAGAGAGTGCGAGCATGGGGACCCTGGTGCGCTGCACATTCGCAGCTACTCAACGGACTGGGCAGCGTCCCCGTTTCGTGCCAGTCTTGTCACCCTGGCACCTGTGCTCAGGGCGTAAGTCCTTTTCCTCTGTCCACTGTCCACTTCATTCCTGCAGTAGCGCTGACACTCGGTAACCACCGGCATCTCATGCACAAGATGCTGAACACACATGCAGGTATTTTCAGTCCTGCTCACCCCTGCAGTGCCCAAGCACTGACCGTGACGTCACCAGCCACTGCGACATCGGCAGGGCGAAGCACCAGGGTGAGGCAAGGGAGGCTCCCTCGAGCGGTGGGCACCCGCAGGAGCCGGCGAGCCGCCCACATCCGGTGCCTGCCCGAGGCCCCACCCTAGTCTTCGTCCTGGAGGAACAGTCACATTGCTTTAATCAAAGCCACAGAGGGAGTTACAAACAGCACAAAGGACAAGAAGAGGGTCAGATTCGGGGAGATGCACAGGGAAGACTGGCTCATGACAAAGGGAAAAAGAGAGGTCGGGTACTTTTGAAGCAGGGTACCAGGCTGATTACAGAGGTTAAAATCTAACGCGGGAAGGACAGACGCACCTCTGACCCTGGAGAGCCTCTGCCTGTGTCTCAGAATCTGAACAATCAAGTCTGAGCCTGAGCGCCGAGCCCATCCCTCTGCCTGCAGGCCCGGCTCAGGCCCTTGAGTCTTCCGTTTCCTCCCGCGGGGCGTCCCCTTCCCGTGGCGGGTCTCCGGCTCCCTCCGCAGCCCTATGGGCTGGGCTGGCTGAGGTTAGATCGGGAGTCTTGGCTTCAGCCCTCCTTTGAAGTTTCTGTTGTCTTCCCACGGGGAGCGGGTGGGGACCCAGTGGGGATCCTCCGCGATTCACTTTCCACTGAGGCCTCATATTTCTTTATAGCTGCATGAAGGAGAGAGAGAAGGTGGGAAAGAAAGTGAGATGCAACTTAATAAGCTCTGCTATTCATCTCTGCCTCCTTAATTAGGGCTCGCTCTTACCTCTTGGGCAGGGACCAATAAACCAGAAAATACAAAAATCTTTGAAATGTGTATGCTACTTATGACAGCTTCCCGAAGCCATCTCACTTCAGCCTCAGGTCAACTCTGCCACGTACCAGGGGGTGAGCGCCCACGCTGCACATAAGGATGCAGAGGACCTGGGTGTGTGCCGGCCCACGGGCTGAGATGAGGAAGCTGAGAAGCCAGGATTGTCTATGAACTCCGGGCTCCCCCACCCAGTGCTCTCTGCTCCAGCAAATCCCTGCACACTCCCACAGGCCTTCCACCGAGAACCAGCTTGGGGCTGCAGCCGCGCTGGAAAAGCAAACCCCACAGACCTGAGCTTGGCATTTTGGGCGTAAGAATCAGGACTAGCCCCTCACCTCTAAGGGAGAGCACCTGTCTCCGGGTGGCTGACAGCAGAGCTACAGTATTTAAGGCTTTGCTCCATTCCGGGTGGAGAGCAACGCTCATGAAATACTCCTTCTTTTCCCTTTCTGTGTCTTTTTTTCCCCTCCCCAAATCCCTCAAATGGAAGGAAATAAACTAAACTGTCCAATCATGGGCTGGAGGTGCTGCGTAATAGTGGAGGGCTCGCCTAGTACTCGCAAGGGCCTGAACCCCATCCTTAGCACCTTTAAACAAACAAACAAAAACAGAAACAAAAAGGCTGTCCACTTCCCTGGTCCCCTCCTCTAGGACAGGGCAAGGCGGAACAGACACTATGCACGTTTCCTGCTTATAGTGTTGAATCAATTTTTCTCCCCACATGATTCCTAATGCGGAGTGCTTCCCTGGGTACCACTTAGTTGCCGTGACCCCAGCGCAGTGATGGCGAACCCTTTAGAGCTTTCAGTGACCCCAACAGCCTGCTGTGGCACGCATGACATAGGTTCGCCACCACTGTCCTGGGGGTTCTTCTCAGTTACCATCCCGTCCAGGTCCCAGCTCCAGCCAGCTCCTCATTAGTAAAAGGCTCCTGCTCAGAGGAGCCAGAAAGGCCATAGAGAGAGTCACCCAACCACCAGCACCAGTGAGCAGCTCAACCTGTCGCCAACCCCTGCTGCAGCCATTCCTTCCCTACACCCGCCACCAAGGGACACCAGGCAGACGGCTCACCAGGCCAGGCACGGACACTTGCTTCAAATTTTGTGTTAGAGGCTCTGAGCAGTAGTTACTTTTCTCTGCACACCCCGGGCAGAGGGACCACATAAACTCGGTTTCTGAGCTTCAGGGGGCACTTGCAGCTCAGCCTGAGTTCAGTAGGAAAATGCTTCTGCCTTTGGCCCCTCTGTCCTAAGGATAAGTCCAAAGCCCTAACGTGTCCCTCAGGGGAGATGCTGCTGCGGCCCTCTGTGGCATCTCAGACCCCTTGAGAAACACTTCCCAAGTACCATGCTCTGCCCAGGTGGAGTCTCTGGACCTGGCTCCCAAGAAAAAAGAGAAAGTTGGAAACAATCATATTGAGGAGAGAGGATTCGAATACAGCCCATGTTCTAACGACTTGAAGAAAATACTCACAAAAGTCATGGGACTTGAAAATATTACCGCGGGTGGGTTAGGGCCAGACTAGAGCTATGGAGACACATGGGACACAGAGGACAGGTTAGCAGGGCTGGGATGGGGTGGGTCCACCCTGCCCAGTGAGAGGGCTGGCTCAAAGTCCTCCAGGCCTGGGCTGGGCTGGCCTCGGAGCAGAGCCCCGGGTGGGTTCCCAAAGGAAGAAAGGTTGGGAGAGATAGGGCTGAAGCTGCAGGTGACTCACCCTCGGACTCTGCTCAGGGACGCCTTCCACGCCAGGACCTCCTTGTACACCAACCGGCAGAGGAGCTGTGGGGAATCCGAGGCGCAGGGCAAGGGAGGGCACCGTGAGCATCAGCACACAGCTCCCAGGACCGGCAGCAAAGACCGGGCTGTACAGTTTCACTGGGTGGGGGATCCACCCTGGGAAGCAGAGTGGTTCTGAGCAAGAGGTAGCTGTTCTCCTTGTCCAGAAAACTTGACGCTCTGGACCTCCAGAGTTCCAGTGTGGTGGGACAGAACCCCCCCAGTACTCATATATGTACCCCAAGAACTCTTACCAGGCAGGCAAGGACGTCAGCGGAGATGAGCATGTAGAAGACGTTGTTCCAGCCTGTGGGGGAAATGAGCCCTGCCAGCAGGGGGCCCAGCGCCGCACCTGTATGGAGCACAACCAGTGAGATGAGGGGCATCCCCACTTCCTTGCCCACCAGAGGGCGGCATCCCAGAGGGTCTGGCCCAGGGAGACCTAGGTTCAGCTGCTGGGCCCCAGAGCTAAAGTCACGGACCTACGGAGCCAGTGCCGTCGATGATCGCTGTGACGGTGGAGAGGGCCTTGGCATTGCCCTTCAGGCTCTTGTGAGTTCCCTGGGGAGAGAGCAGAGTGTGGGGGCCCCAGATGAGCAGCAGCACCCAGCAGGATGAGGGAGAGGTTGACTCAGGCAAGGTAGAAACTGAAGTTGGGAGCAAAGAGGGGCCCGTGGTGTGTTCTGAAGGACTTTGAGGGTCTCAACCCTGCAGGACAGGAAAGAGGAAAGGGTGGGGATTCCGAAGCCCTGAGTAAGCCCACTCACCAGGTCAGCGGAGACAGCCGTGGTGATGAGCGCATACGGGCCGTTGACCAGGGCCCCACAGATAATCAGCATCACTGGGAGAGCAGCGGAGAAGGTGCAGTCAGAGAAGAGGGGCACCCACAGCCCCAGAGCATGACACACCAGGCCTCTGCCCTCCCAGCCCCTCACTCTAATGCCCCGTGCCCACGTCATAGGGTGCCCACAGTGGTGTCTTTCCTATGGGCCTGCAGGACTTGTCTTCTTACCTATGGAGCTGGTAATCCCATTCTGGCCAATGGAATTGTACAGAAACATCTGTGAGAGGAGAGAGACAAAGTTGCACCTCAGCCTCCCCTGGCTGGGCTGAAGCCTGAGTGTAGAACAAGCCTGTCCCGCTCTAGAGCCCCATGCTGCCATGTACCCCTCCTTCTTATACCCAGAATTCTCAGACTCTGAGTGTCCCATGGATGGAAGTTCTAAAACATAGTAATCTGTTGTTTCCCTCTTCCCAAAGTTCATCTCCTACGTCTAACAGCAGGCTCTGTCCCTTCCTGTGGTCAAGAAGGTTAGCAGTGGGCCTTCCTCTTCTCCACCAAGGGCAAAGTCACCGATCCTTTTCCCAAACTCAAGTCCTGGTCTCTTTCAAGGACTCTCCTTTCTCCTCTCTGACATGTGCGTACATGTGCCGTGCACATATACACGAGACAGCGGTGTGCACGGATGCAGAGGAGCGCACACTGTCAGAGGCCGTGCACCTGCTCACAGGCACTTGTGCTTTGCCCTTGAGATCGTACGTACCACTGGGGCAGCCAAGATCAGCATGATGCAGCAAGTGGTGGCCCTGCCATTGATGGAGTCAGAGATGAGCCCCGCCATGATGCCACCTGCAACACACACCCACTCACACACGGCCCCGGACAGGACCACACCACCCCTAGCCTGCAGGCCAGCCCTGGCCTGGGCCTGCCCCCGGGAAGCAGCGGAGCTCCTCCCTCGCCTGTACTCATTCTTGCAGGATACCAAACACAAAGGTCATCTTTCTTAGGGTCACCCCGCTGGGCAGGAGTAGAGGTGAGAAAACACTCAAGATGGCTTTCTTCTCTGGAGCCCCTGGCCTGGTGGCCCCACTCCTTCTTTCTGTACCCCGACAGAGAAGCAAGGAAGGCAGCCTCCCACAGAGCAGGTCAGGGCCTCACCTATGATGCCACCGACATCAAAGAGTGTAGACATGTCCCCAGCCTCCTTGGCACTAAAATTAGCTGTGGAAAACACAAACATAGGATCAGATGCGAGCGCTGGCTCAGGGCAAACATTCCAAGTGCCACAGCCAGAGGGAGCCCTACAGGGCACTCCCCCAGCCCACCACCCCTCAGAGGGGGCAGCTGAGGTGCAGGGTTGGCTAGGGCTGTAGTGAGTCAGCATCGCAGCGGGACTGGCCTGCTCTGGCCCCCAGGCTTCCCCTGCCAGATGACGCTGGCCTCTCAGAACAGCCCCTCTCCTGCAAGCTTGGGACCTGACCCCCGAAAGCCCTGCCCCCGGGAGCCACCTTTCCCCTGAAGCACAACTGCTCTCACCAAGCCTCGGCCTGCCATGCACTCTCTCTGCTCGGCTCCTGACCTCGCAGCAGGCCCCTCGAGGAGGTCCTCCCAGCCGCCTGAGGTCTCTGCTAGTGCACAGAGCCATGTCCTGGCTGAGTGTCCAGAGGCTTGACTTGTAGCCACACCCCCAAGGATGACTCATAGCCTGAAGTCAGCACCAATGCCACCAAAGTCACAGTGTCCATGCAACCGCCCCAGCAGTCTACCACTACCACAGAGAGGGGCCCCTCGTGTAGAGTGGCGGGCACACTACAGCCTGAGATCCAGCTCCGACTAATCCACATGGTATCCTGTTCAGAGTGAGCACTGAGCGGCGGGCAGCACTGTCCCTCCCAGGGTTGGCAGGGAGTGGAGCAGCCCTGGGCAAGAGGTCCTGGGTGAGAGGTGGAGTCCAAGGCTCCTGGAGGGTGGGCAGGTGGAACAGGCTGTTCCCTGCTGGAGCCACCCCACCTTTGGGAAAGCAGAGACCCAGGCCAGGTGGACATGAAATGTCCTTTTCAACCGTAAAAGTTATCTCTCCTCATCTGTACATCCTGGGGCAGAGGCAGGGGCAGAGGAGAGTAGCCCATGAGGTGAGGCAGCTCCCCCAGCACAGCCCAGCAGACCCCAACATAAAGGCATCAGTCCCAGGAGGTCCCCTTGGCAGAAGAGCACCATGGTCACCTCCATGCAGTGGGTGGCTATCCAGGCCTCTTCCTGGATTGGGAGAAGTACTCATGTAGCCCTTTCCTAGTACTCCCAGCCCCCACACCTGAGTGCCAAGCAGCCCCAAGAGGATTTCCCCTACACTCAGGCTGGAGGAGAAGACAGGATTGCGGAACAGAGCTTTGTGCTACTAACGCCCAACTCAGCTCCAGAGGAGAGCCGCAGTCAGGGTCTAGCGGGTGGTACACGGGGCTGAACTTCCCACTTAAACAAACTGAACAAACCTCAGGTTTTAGAAATCCTGCCTGGAATCATATACGGCAACGCCATGGCTTCCCCACACCCCCACAGCAAGTACTGGCCTGGGCCTCCTCAGAGACCCCACCCTCTCAGCTCTTCTTCCCCATGGACTTACCCACATTGGAGATGTAGAGGGGCAGCCAGTAGAGGAAGGTGTAGCTGACCAGCTTGGCAAAGAGCAGACACAAAGAGAACTCGACCACGCCCTGGGGAGTGGAGCGGAAGACACAGTGCAAAGGGGTCCACGATCTTTGGTCCATTGGTGGCCCCAAGGGGCAGCTCAGCGCCACCCCAGGTCTATCCACCACCCCATACAAAGCAACCTCAAATACACACCCAATCCAATAAGAGAAATGTACCTGCTGTGTCCAGACAGGTCTCCCACACTGCCCCCCACCAAGAAGCCAACACTCCTACAAAACCATCAGTCATTCCCAGCACCCTATTTCCTGACATCCAGTGGAAATATCCAGAAATCCCCTCTCTTCCCTCTCTTGCACAAACTTCCTACCGGAATCTTGAGCGCCCCCAGGAAGCTGATGGCGGCAGGCTCAGGCTCGGGGCATGGTTCCTTGGAGCAGCTGGCAGCCTCCACGCTACTCTCCCTGTGAGAGTAGGAACAGTTCCCAGGATCCTCCGGGTTGTCCTGGTTCTCTTCTGGCCCACCCTGAGCAGAAGAGAGAAGCCCTCATTGCGGGCACAGCAATGTGCCACCTCCCCTAGTTGCAGCAACTTGGACCAACCTCTGCTAGGCCCCTCAGGTTGTTAGACCCCAACCCCAGGGCCTAATTCTGGCTCTGAGTTCCCAGTCGTCCCTGGGTCCCGCCCTTCTGATTGGAGGAGGGCAGGGACTGCACTAGGAGGGCTCCCACTCACATGGTGCTGTGGAGGCGTGCAGTCCACATCTTCTGGGTCTGAAAAATATAAATGACCTTGAGGAAGCTTCCCAAGGGGCCAGGCTGTCTCTCACTGTACAGGGGCTCTAAGTGGTAGGGCGGTGGCAGAGAGCAGCCCACCACTTCCTGTGCAGCCTCCCAGAATGAGGGACTGGGCCTTGGGGTTCAGGGGGCCAGGGTTCCAGACCTGGCTTTTCTCACTACTGACTGTGTCGCTACTCCCCTCAGATACAAAGTGGCTCTAACACTTGGCCTCCCCAACTCACAGGGTTGTCAAAAAATGGGGATGACAAGCGCCTTCTGCACAGTATGCAAGCGATCAGGTGCTTCAGTTACATCCGATCCTTCCCACTCCTCCCAGACCCAGCCAATGTTGGCTGAGCCCCCGCTACAGGCCAAGCACTGGACACTGTCTCACGCGGACTTGCAGAAATCCTAGGGCGTAGCTATCCCTGCTTTACAAATGACAAACCTGAAGCTCTGAGTCACACAGCTGGTGCCCCAACCCCATGACCACAGTCTCCTCCACACATCCAGCTGCTCTCTCCCACTCATGGGGTCCTTGGGGAGGGAGGGGTCCACTCACACTCAATGAGGAAGAAGAAGGTGAAGACGCCCATGGCAGCGGTGATAATGCCAGGCACAATAAACGACAGGCCCCACTGAGTGTTCACCCAGATGCCGGCCAACAGGGAGCCCAGGATGTTGCCCACAGAAGTGTGGGAATTCCAGATACCCATGATGAACCCCCGCCTGGAGGACAGGGAAGGAAAGGAAAGGAGAAAAGGGAGAAGTTACTGTCCGGGCCAAGCTCGGGGCACCAGCTGCTTCCAGCCTCCACGACATACTTTGGTAAAGCCCCAAAGACACGGTCCGTGAGGAGGCTTTGGCTGGTGTTGCGCAGGTAGCAGCAGGAGCCAGGGTCCCCATACCCCTTGCCAGTGCCCCAAGCAAACACAGCTGGGACAGCCCCACACGAAAGGGATGGAGCCCCCATTCTGTCTTCTCTTTTGCCCCTTAATTTCACTCCAAAGCCATGGTCTTCAACTGAGGGCAACTCTGACCCCACAAACATCTGGTAATGTCTGGAAATTTTTGCTTACAACCACTGACCTCTCCCGGGAGATGCCCAGGAGGCTGCTAAACACCTACAATGTGTAGGACAGTTCAAACTATCAATAGCACCGAGGGTGTAAAACCTTGCTCAGAAGCAATTTGTTCTGCACAAAATCCAGTTCAAGGAAACAGAAACAGTTGTATAACTATTATGAGAAAAAATAGAACTAAGGCTGCCTGTCCTAGGGGTCAAATCCTCATCAGTGAGAAAGCCAGTCCTGCTCTGTAGCGGGGAAACATTTCCCATCTCAGCTGTGAAAACCAGCAGGATGGAGGCACATTCTCCTCTCTTACCCTGAACGCGCACAGAGCAGAGGGCCATGCATGGCTGCCTCAGTGCCCCCAGCCCTCCCCGGTCCTCCCTACTCCTCCTCACACTCACTTCCCCTTCCCGAACCAGTTGCCCACGCAAGCCACGACAGAGGGCCAGCCTGTGGTCTGGACAAGTCCATTGAAGATCTGCAAGGAAAGAGACGCGGTGAAAACAAGCCTGGGTCACGTGCCTGCTTGACCACCCTTGGCGGAGGAGGTTCAGTGTCCTGGCCCCCACACTCCACACTGCAAACCTTGCCTGTCTCTCTTATGTGAACATCCACCTCCGCCCCCAATGTCACAAGCTGCTTTCTCCTCCAGCTCAAGATTACTTGAGGAGTCCACGCTCCTGCATCGGAAGCGGCCTTAGGACAGTGCTCAAGGGAGAAGTACTGGGCCAATAATGCACCGCTGTCAGGGGTGGGAAGCAGGACCTGTGTGTACGCAGATGGAGCCCTGGACTAGGAACGGAATCCATGACCTCAACTGCTGTACCTGGGGCTGGCTGGGGAGAACTAGCCCCAGTCTATCCCATGCTACAATGGGAACAAAGTCTCGAGCACGTGACTTGGTGTCATACCTGGACGAGCACAAAATACCAGAGCACGTGGATGTCCCAGAAATATCCCAGGCCAAAGAGGGAGGTAAAAAGGCCACTGAGCAACATTCCAGCTGAAAGGTAGTAACGCAGGGGGAGCCGCTCCCCAAAAATCCCACTGGAAAAGAGAGAATTGGATTTATGGTTAACCTCTTCTCTGTCTATTCGGCCGTCTCACTTCATCCCCCACCCCATGCCGCGGAGGCCACTCCAGCCAAGATGCCCACTGATGACCCTTGTGCTGACGTATGTCTAGGCCAGCATGGGCCTCCACTTCTGGGACCCCTGTTTTATTTGAGCCTGTGACGGTGCAGACGGTCACTTCCCTCCCCTTGGCTGACCACTCCTCAGCACTTACTTTTCTCTCAGACCAGGCTCCTGCATGATTTGTAAGGTTTTTACCACCACTCATAACTAACCAGCCCCTCCTGCATAGCTTCAATCCTGATCTGCAGCCAGAGCTTCAGGATCCTATCCAGACGCCTTTTGGACCTTTACTTGGAGATTCCCCAAAGCATTTAAAACCTAGCCCTCCAACACTAAATTCCTCTTCCTCCTACCACCATCCAGGCCCGCCCTGCACTCCTCATCCAGGTGAAGGCCACCACCGTCCACTTGGCCACTCATGCCAGTCCAAGGGAGTTACCTCAGGCTCTGCCTCTCTTTCTGCCCTGCGGTCCATCCTCAAGGCGCACTCATTCTACTTTCCTCTTGTCTTTTCTTTTTCCAGCGCAGGGGATCAAACCCAGAGCTTCCACACACTAGGCAAAGCTGTCTACCACTGAGTTACACTGCCAGCCCCCATTCCACCACTTAAATGGCTCCCCAGTGTGCCCTCTCCTTTCCACCTCTGCTACCACCAAGTGACCCAAACTCTCCAGCTCAGCAGTCTGGGCTGCTGTAGAACTGTTCCCCTTGGTATGATTGGGCTGGCCCTCCCTCAGATCTACCCCAGCACCCCCACACACATGCAGAGTGATCTATCCAAAATGTATGTCTGGGATAAAATTCCTTGGTGGCTGTCCCTTCCCATATGGGACACACAGGCCTCATCTGCAACTCCCCGCGATGAGCTCCGTGCTGCCTCTGCCACTCTGGACATGGTTGGAGATGGGATCTTTCCGGGTTTCTCCACATCCAGGGATGTTCTTAGAGGACCCTGGTCCATACCCAGTAACATGGCTATTTTGGTGAATACTCAGAATTGGCATTCAGGAAAAGGGGCTGCTGATGGCGAGTCCACCGGGTGAAGGAGCAGTCTCGGTCAGTACCCACAGTGAGGAAAGGAGTCTGGTCATGGGCTGACAGCCCTTCCCACCTAGGGGAGCTGTCCACATGCCCTCTTCAGCCCACTGTACCCAGGTCAGTCACTCTGAACTCTGCCTATGGCTGGGCATGAGCTCTGCAGGCCTCTCTCTTTACCTGATAAACATGCCGATAGCATAGGCCACAAGGAAGGCGTTGTCCACAGCCCCCAGTAACTCCTTGTAGTCATCTTTGTCTGAAAGTAGACAAGAGAGACAGAAAGCTGGCTGCTTGGCTGTCCCTGCATGAAGCCCTTTCCTGCCCCAGACAGCCTCATCTTGAGGAAGAGAGGAAGAATGGGGAAGAGCAACATGCCCTGGTCTTACCAAATGGACCCCAGCTGCACCACGTGGTATCATTGGGACTGTGGGTGTCATTGATGGGGTTGATCAGCTCTGAGCAATTCTGATGCAGACGGCTCTGAGAGGCAATAGCAGGCACCGGTCAGGGGTCTTCCCATTGTCTCAGGGCCCACTCAGCCCAGACAGGAACAAGCCACCTCCCACCCCAACCAACCACACCACCCAATGCTCTCTCCTGCAGGCACCTCCCCTGCAGGGATGGGAAGGTGACCCCATTAGACCCATGAGCAGAACCCTTAGACCCCAGGGCTCTGCCTTCTCTTCCCATTCACACCCACTGGCACTGCTGTCTTGGTGAATAAACTCAAAGGGAGCCCCTAGGGAAACACAGGGAAGAGAGCTATGAACAGCGGGCCTGCACTGGGAGGAGGGTGAGGGAACGGGGAGGACGGTGGCCTGAAGCCCAGACCCTTCTGCCGCAGTGTGCACATCTCCTGGGTCCTGCATTCTCCCTCACCACCCAGCCTTACCTTGACAATACTGAGGGGCTTCCGTGACATGTGATAACAGGTGTAAATCAGGAAGGTGATCACCAGCGTGAAGCCCCGGAACCTGCAGGAGAAGACAGACATCCAGATCAGCAGGAAGCCAGGTGCCAGCTGAAAGCAGCTCCAGGGCCTCAGCACAGCTGTCTCTTTACCTTCAGGCTCTTTCCAGACACATGTTCTTCAGGGCAGGGGTCAGGAGAGGCCCAGAACAACACCCAGAGGCCAGGCTGCTGGGGGTGCTGGTCTCCCTGGTCAACCTCTGAGGCTTCTAGTGGAGCCTGCTCAGCTGGGCACTCAAACATAGGGAGGAGCTCCTGCCTCCTCCTTCCCCTCTGTTTCTCTGGGTCTCACCAAGGCCAGGGGGCCCTATGTCTCTGCATGTGAAACTGAGATGATGGCAGGAAGTGGAGTGATTTTCTAAATGTCAGAAATGATGGGGTTTTGGAGGGAACTGAAGGAGGAGAAGGGTCTGTCTTCAAAGGGAGGTCAGTATTCCTCTTAAACTTAGCAGACAGCAGACAGAGCCCAGGCCACAGGTGGAGATGAGTCAGCTGGAACAATTGATGACATAACTCAAGCGCTCTCTCTGCTAGTCCCAGGCTGGTCCCATTCTCTTGGATGGAAACATCATTTTCCCCTCTGTGGCTCACATGTCCATGCGTTGGCCGGGGATGGGAAGGACAGCCCAGGCAGGTCTCACTCAGTTTCCAGGGCCTTCCCCTGTCCTGAGTCTAGGAAAGAGCTGCAGTGCCTGCCTGAGTCAACATCTGCTTCCCCAGCAAGGCATCAGCTGAGCTGAGTCAGCAGCCAGAGGCCAGAAAGTATATGGAAAATAGACTTCAGAATGGGGGCTGGGGGTGCAGCTTAATGGAACACCATGTGCTTAGTATTCCCAAGGCCCTGGATTTGATCTCCAGGACCACCAAAAAACCCAAGAACCAAAACACAAAAGAATAGCTCTCCCCCCAAAAAAGAATAAATCAGGAGGCTGAGGCAGCAGGACCATTGCGAGTTTGAGACCAACCTGGGCTGTAAAGTGTGCTCAAGGCCAGCCTGAACTGCATAGCAAGTCCCTGTCTCAAAAAAAAAAAAAAAAAAAAAGAATAGCTCCCAGCCTGGAAGAAAGAACTGGGCATTGAGAAAAACCTAGCAGCCTTTGCTTATTGAAGATATTATTGGAAAATGGGAGGGCCCAGAGCCCTCTGCCAGTGTCTTGGCTCCATGAGCCCCAGGGCAGACACTACCTGCTCACTCCGCCCTTGCTGGGATTCTGCCTCCAAACCCCAAACTCACTTCCCCCAAACAGCCCATGAAGCAACACAGGATACCACTTGTGAAATAAAGGGTGTTTTTGCCAAGCCTGAAGCTGAGTTGTGCTGCCAGGCCCCTCTCACTTCACGCCTGGTCTTGAGCTTCCAAACTAGGTCTCCGTCTCCATTCTCTCCACTGCCCCAGAATTTACCTTGCAAAGAGAATGAGCTTACACATGCATATCTTCATTGCTTGGTTTTAATTTTTCTATTTCTTTCCATTCCATCTAGAAGGAAATTCGAGGTATGCAGTCTGGATTTCCACAACCAGGTCTCCCTGACTACTCACTCCCACAAGCACCTAGATGGACTTCAGAGGTTTTCTAAGCACCTGAGTTCCACAAGGAAGCTGGGGCCACCCCATGTGCCTGGCGCAGTGACACACATCAGCAAACTCGGGGGCAGCAAAGTTTCCAGATGCCACCAACTGCCATATGGTTTACAACTACTTGAGAGTCTTCTAGAATTCTCTAAGAGAATTCAGAGAATATGCCTGGCTGCCTTTGTATAAAGAGCAATTAATGCAAGAAAACTTCAGCCTATAGATAACACCAACCCTGTGTCCTGTCAAGGATGCTGCCTAGTCCAGGCAAAAACAAGCAGAAAGATTTGAGTCATGGCTCTTACTCATCTGCTGCGTAAGATTTTTCTGTCTCTGGTTTCTTCCTGATTTGCACATGGATGGTAGGTAGCATCAACCCCATCTGTCTCATAACAAAGTGAACACAATCTCACTCTCACCCAGGTTCCTTGGACCCTAGTGGTACCACCTTTAAGACTCCCAAGCTTCAGCTAAGCCTACCTTGCCTGACCTTTCCAGGATGTGTGGCCACTGACCATAGCGACAGATCAGATCCTCTCTGGAGGGACCACTGGGGTTCCTGACAGGCCCAGCAGAGCCTGGTGTGGACTGGGACCTGTAGAGCTTTATCAGGAGCTGGGAAAAACCAAAGAGGGCATAGCAGGGTAGCCCAGCTGCCAGCCACATTTTCCCTGCTACGCTGCTCCACCCCCACACTCCAGAAGGTGCCCACGGAGGAATGCCTCAGCCCCTCAGCCCTGGATTCTCTGCCTTCCTCCTGCCTTTGGTCCCAGATGTTCTTCCATATCTATTCCATGTCCCTTTCACCTGCAGTCCTGTCCCTCTCAACTGTGAGTAGGAGGAGCTGTGCAAAAGGACAAACACCCCCATGTCCATCTCTAATATCCGGCTTCTCTTGGCAGAAAGACAGCTGCTCTCCTGTCCATCCATTTACCTACATGCCCCAGGTGCAGGGCTAGTGATCTAGTGACAGCAAGAGGAGTCACCAGAGGGACCTCTGCCCTCCTGGAGCTCATGGGTCAGTGGGGAGACGGACAGAATTGGTGCAACCCTGCTATATAAAAGGGAAGCCCTGCATGACAAGGAGCACTGAGAAGGGACACCAAGCCAGTGTGATGGGGGCAGGGGCGGGAAAGGAATCCTGGAGGTGAGGTTTCAGTTGCACCTTCAAAAACAAGAAGGCGGTGGCCAGGCCAACCAGGCTGTACAGGAAGATGTGTCAGGGACAGGAAGCAGCGCGTGCAGAAGTTCAGGGGCGTGAAATAACACTACCTGTTTGTGGAGCTCTGCATAGTTCAGGATAGCTGGAAGGTGGGACTGAGCCAAGCACAGAAGGAGGAGTGGCTGGGAGGAGGCAGAGCCCAAGCCAGGTAGGGCTTTGGGTGTCAAATGGAAGAGCTTGGGCTGCCTCTTGAGGGTGACAGGAAGCCACTGGAGGGGCTGAGATTTCCTAGCTCAGGGCGCTCTGGACACCACCAGGCAAAGCCACACAAAGACCCAGGGCTCTACACTGTTGATTTTGGGAGTAAGCCTCGGACAGACTTCCTCACTGCAGGGTAGAGCCCATTCTCTGTGCATTTGGCATCCTGCCAGCTGTTCCCCAGCACATGGCAGCTTCATGCGGTCCCTATGTGGCATATTTCAAGGAGGCGATGTCTATAAGAAAAAAGAGTAAGGACTTAGGAATCAGGCAAAAGCTAGTTTCATTCCTTAAACCTGATCATGATTCTGAAAGCCGATGGTTTATTGACTTGCTCATGAAATTACCAACAGGTTAGTGAGATGATGACTATGACAGGTCCTATAGCATTCCTGATACCCAGTGGACACTTAAAAATGCAGCTACGCTTGTTTCCAATTTGCAGATGATAAAGAAGGGTGGAAGGAGTTGAGAGAGCCCTTGTTGCTCTGTTGTTAGAACCAAGAATGGCACCAAATTCTTCTGGACCATGGGTGATCCAGGCCCTAGATTCACCAAGCCCAGGAACATGTGGAGGCCAGCATGCTCCCCAACCCAGCCTCTCTAAGAGGCACAAAGATCTGAAGCTTCTAGAGCCCAGTCTCTCTGGGGTACCTACAGTGTCACAAAGAAGTGACTCCGGCCTGCTAGGCCTCCCCAGTGCTCCTCCAGGGGCAGACAGGAGGATCAGCAAGGGTCCATATCGGTATCATGACTGAGCTCCTCTGGGGTCTGCCTTGTGTAGACCACAACCTCCACCAGAAAACTCATTCCCCATATCCGCAGGAGAGTCAAGATGGCTGGGGGTCCTCATCTGTGGTATGCGGTGCTAGGTCTGGCCCTGGTTTCCTATGGGACTTCCCATCTGAACTGCAGAGGGATGAAGGAATGAGCTCAATGTCACAACACTGGCTGAACACAGTGCATCTGGGACCGGGTCTCCTCCAACTCCAGTGGTATTTCCATGACACTTTGTCAGGTCTTCTGGGGAAAGGACCCAGGCGCCATCATTAGAATAATGCAAACTGAAATTGCATTGAGATTCTATCTCACCCACGTCAGAATGGTTATCCACAAGAACACCAAGTAAGTAAGTAAATAAATGTTGGTGAAACTATGGGGGACAAGGAACCCTTCTACACTGTTGATGGGAATGTAAATGGGTAGAGCCATTATGAAAATCAGTATGGAGGTGGCTCAAAAAACTAGAAACAGACCTACAATTTGACCCAGCTTTACCATCCCTTAGTACACAACAGGTGAGTAAAATTACAGTGAATGTTTAAATAAATTTCTTACAGTAAAATCTCTTACACATGTTCCTGGGCTTGGTGAACCTAGGGCCTGGATCACCCATGGTCCAGAAGAATTTGGTGCCATTCTTGGTTCTAACAACAATTTCTTACAATAAAAGACAGTAAAATTACAGTGAATGTTTAAATAAATTTCTTACTGTACACTGACCCCCTAATACTTCCCCTCATCCACGATATACTTATCCCGTCATCCTTGCCACCTGCTAAAGCAGTTCTAGAACTCCTCTTCTGTGATTGTCTTTATGAGGTCTGATAAAAAATATGGTGAATGCTGCTCCTAATTGTCATTCACAGGGAAGGCAAGCTTCTCAAAACATTATTTACATCATTATCCACCTCTGTGCGACTGCTAGCTCTTCCCTAAAGTCAAAATGACCATGAAAAGTGAATGTTCTGAGTCAGTTCAGGACATCAAGGCAGCAATGACAGTATAATTAAGACATTCACAGAAGAGAGTTTCTAGAAGAGCTTCAGAAAGAGCCCAAATCAGTGGAATATGTGTGTTTGAAGCAAGATAGACTGCTCTGAGGATGATTAATAGCAATGTATCTTTCATTGCAGAAAACTTTAAAAAAAAAATTTAACCATTCACTATATTTTTTGATCATAGCATGTAGGAATCATAAAGTCAGCATACCATAGGGTTATCTGCATATCCATATTTACTGGTACAATACATATTTACTGATAGCCAAGATATTGGAACCTGCCTAGGTGCAGATCAACAGCTGCATGGACAAAGGAAACCTGCTGTACGAACACAATGGAGTATTATTTTAAAAGAATGAAATTATATCACTTGCAGAAAAATAGATGGAAGCAGAGATCCTCATGTTAAGTGAAATAAGCCAGATTCAAAAAGACAAGGATAGTGTGTTTTCCATGGCATGTAGAATCTAAGAAAGATGACATGAAGGTAGAGGGAAACTATTATTAGACAAGAGGAAAGGAATAAGGGGAATGAGGACATTAAAGCAAGGTAATGGGAAGTTAAATACAATTAAAATACACACACGTGTGGAAATACCACATTGCAGCTGGG